AAATTTAATTGGACACACAAAGCTGAAAGAAGTATTGGAGAATATTGTAACAACAGGCAAGTTTGATGGAAAGAGAGGCAGAAGCAGACAGAGGGGAAAGATACTGGACAAGTTGACAACATGGCTGGGAGCAGCAAGAACAACAGACACCATTGCTGCACCGCAAGACACATGGAAGTTGAGGTCCATGATCACCCACACCAGTCGGCAAGGTACCGGATGATGATCCTCAGTTAAATTGAAAATAGTCACAACCAAACGTGTGAACCTCAGGTGATCCATACTGCAGATTAATTAGAGGAGGCTCACGTGGTCTAAAGGTTACGGTGTTAGCTTCTCTTTCAATTGGTCAGGGGTTCGAAACCTGACAGCGACGGAAAGTTTTCTTCTTTAAAATGTTCTCATTTCACTTTCTTTCCTGTTCTAACCATGTTCCGTCGTCTCCTTTCGGCTCCACTTTCTGCCCCCACCCCCCATTTACACCAACCTCCGGGTTTCTGACTCTTCCTGCAGCTTTTCTACTGTACTGCTGCTCCTTAGGTCCTTACTGTTGTCATTCAGCCCCAACCCTGATTTTATAGTAGGGAAGATCTGACGCCTACACCTCTCGGATAAGGGTGAAAAATCTAGGAGGTCTCTTGTGCATGTGGCACAAGTTAAAGATCTCTTGGTTGCCCAAAATCGATAAGAGTAGGCTTCGGCCGCCACCCGGGCAACATTCAAAATTACTTCCTACCAAACTGACAACGTCAAATGTGCATCGCGCGCTCATATGATTTTATGCAGCTGCGAGCGCCGTAAAGCACTTATCAAAACTAAAAAGATTAATTAGAGAGATAAGTCCTACTAACCAAGAGCAATGCGAAACTGTAAGTGCTAGACGCTCAGAACCCAGAAAGTGTTGTGAGACGGGGGTGCTGCTCAGTGCTCAGGTCAATTGTGAGGCATCGAGGTGAAATCAGGCACTCGTCAAAATAAATTAAATAGAAGTGAAGACATGTCGTGTGAGAGGAGAAAATCACGTAGCGTGCTATAAGTTAAGGCTTCTGCGTATGGGAAAGAACATGAGAGAGTATTGTAAGTGAATACAGGTGTACTTGAGTATTTCCATGTGTGTCTATGAAGTGTTTGATGTTTGAAAGTGAGTGTATATTTCGTAAAGTGCAAAAGAATAAATTCTGCTTCAAAATGTAATGTAAAGTACACATTATATCTTTTAGTGTCATTATCAATTAGTGTGTTAACCAAAAATACCAATAAGTGACCACAGATAATGGAAATCATGTTCAACACCTCTAGAGATTTAGGAGTTTTTCTATCAGTGTGCTTTTATCCGAAAAAAAGAAAAAACGAAAAAAAAAATCAACAAACACAACACGCACACATCTAGGTATTATACCACTGGGGTATTCTTCAGTCTCAGTCTAATGACGCCGTCACTCAGAAAATGGTCGAATCTTCATTTCGCTGAAGGAGACGGTACCAGCCGTTACACTAAGCCATCTCAAGCCCTTCGCGCCTCCTGTACTGCCCCACAGTCCGTTGAGGTTCACATGATGGCAGCTCTTGTACCACCAAGCTCCGTGATAGGTCTTGGCACAGTTGTCACCCCACGAGTCGTTGTCACGGTCTTTGGTTGAAAACTGCTCGCCATTGTGATACGCCATGTCTCTATCTTTTACATTACCCGAAAATCCAGAAATCTGAATTCTGTAATTTTCTTTTTCTCCAGATAGTGAAAACTTGTTGTAGCTGGCGTAGTAGTTTTTTCCCTGGAATCTCAAATCGAACCTCAGTTCGTATCTCCCCTGGTGATGAGAACGTGAGGACAATTAATACCACCTGTAGATCCACGACATACACAACCTCGTGGCTATGTCTTAGTTGGTAATGAACTTGACGTTGACAATGATGTGACAGGTTCAAATCTGTGTCATGTTTAAATATTCGCCCTCCCAAAGATTTCCTTTCAGTCGGGTGTCCTAGAGACGGACCACGTCCTCGGCTTCAGAGCTGCCCTAAAGTGCGTCTAATAAGGGAGTGTATTTTGTGATAAAACCGGGGGAATAGAAGCAATAAGTAGAAAATCACGTGTCAAAAGCAGGAAATGGGTACTCAATATTGTTATTACTATTATTATTATTATTCAAGATTACTATTACCACAACAACCACGTCTACAACTAGAAGTTGAGGGTTTAATACTTTTCCTAAACACTATTAGGCATTTAGATCTAATAGGTGGGATTTTCATAATCACGTCCATGTCCGATAGAACCAGCCAAAGAGAAAGGAGAAAACAGGCTTGAAACGTAAACTTGGACAATCGATTATCTACATCTTTTTTAAAAAGGGCCATCCCAAAACAAAGCAACATCACGGGGAGCAAAAACAGCAACTCGTACATCGACATAAACAACAAAATGCCCGTGCTGTCACGTGTTTGGACAGTCCATTGTATCAAAATGTAAACAACTTACCTGACTTGTCAGTTGGTGGATTTTCTCTAGTCCGAGCCAGAAATTGCCAGATAGGTCGCCGAAACCGTTTTTATAGTCCGCCCAACCACGAAAAAAGTCAACGTCCGCCGAAGCACGTCTCTGTAGACATAACAGAAGACAAGGTCAGCTTCTAAGGCCTAGTATCCCGAAGCAGACGAAATTGCATTGTCTGAATAATCATGCTTTTTAAAACTATGAAAACAAGAGTGTAACTAGTGTGAGGGAATATAAAGTCAGTGGGAATATTGTATGGTAGCACTGGAAGTTGAAAGGCGATTTCAAGTTATATTGTGTCTTGGGATTTATCATATTCCACTTTCTATTTTATGTTTATTGAGTGGCAGAAACTTTGACTAATTGAAACCACATGAGTCCTTGTGTTTAATATGTATATTGCTAAACAGTACACATATTTATAGTCACTACTTGGAAAGTCACAGAACAGACTGAGTGCACGACTTTTTTAACCAGCTTGTATGGCAGTATATAATGTTGATCTCATTTATATCAGCCTGTAACTATGTCAGCCTGTATTACAGTAAAATTACGCTGATCTTCCCTGCATTGTAACATCAAATGCAAAACCAAAACTTATCCAAATGCACAACCTATTTACAGCTAGGCAATTATCTCTACATTTAAGAAAGGCAATAGTGAACAGCTACATCTTCCCCATATGATGCTGAGACCAGGACTTTTAACAAAGAAAGAAGAAAAAAAAAAGCTGGTTGTGAGATGTGGTGTACTGCAGCATGGCAAGAATTAGCTGGAAAGCAAAAAAAGACGAACGATGAGTGTGTCCGAATCTCAACACCAAACAAACTTTATTTACAAAATTAAATGTAGAAAAATACTTTAGCAATAAAAAACCCCCACCACACCAATGTGAATGAGGTGCTTGAAGGAAAGAAGTGGGGCAGGAGAGCCATGTGTAGACGAAAAGTAACATGGATGGACAACATTGAAACAGGGACTTGTCTGGGTAGAGCAGAATGTGCAGCTCGCGACCGTGACGTGTGGAGTTTTTTCAAGTCTAGCTCTGAGTCAGAGATAATAACGATAGGTATACCAGGTACCTATATGGTATCAGCCCGTATTACACCAAGATAATCTCACTTGTAATTGTGTCCGCCTGTATTATTCTAAAATTATACTAATCTTTCCTGTACTGTTTCAAAGCCTGTATTACAGTAAACTAATGTTGATTCCCCCCCGTACTGTATTAGCCTATATTAGCACAATATCGTTGATTACACTGTACCTTTGATGTATCAACCTATTTTGCAGTAAGATATCATTGCTCTCACCTGTATTGCATCAGTCTGTAAATAAATTAAATGTATTGGCTTAACGCCATTTTCAGCAATATAAGTTTATCCGTCTCAGATGAGACCTAGCCAAATGAGTTGAGAGCTTTGAAAACTCCACTAAACGACCGAAGTTTAAGAAAACACAGTCTGGGGTTCGAAGAAAGAACATTCACTGCGCAGTCTTGCGTGATACCAACTGAGCTAACAAAGCGCCATGATCAGAGTGTATTTATGAAAAATAACAAAAATTTCACCCTGTATCGTATCATCCTGTATTTACGTTAAAATACTGATGATTTTTCTTTTATTGTATTATCTTCTACTTCTTCTTTTTCTTCTTCAATCCCGTGGTTGGGGCAACCTTGGTGGCACCACCGCATCTGAAAACCAGCTCTCGCCATTTATCTTTGACCTCTGCTTTTGTCAGATTGTCACCCATCGTCTTTTCTGTCCACTCTGTAATGTCGTCCTCCTATCTCCTTCTCTGTCTGTATTATCTTATATTGCTGTAAAAATAACGTAGATCTTGCTTGCTTTGTATCAGCTGGTATCATTGTAAAAAGATGTTGATGTTACCTGTATCGTATCAGTCTGTATTAATGTAAAAAGATGTTGATATTATCTTATTTTATCAGCTAGTGCTTACCTGAATCACGATCCAACCATCTTTATCCATTACTGTGTCACAGACTACAAGCTGATTGCTAGAGAGATGGAGCACTGGCTGAATTCCCAAACCTTTAGCACCAGCGCACGACTGAGGCTGCAGAGAAATCCACAGAGAAGGAGTTTGGTGAAAGGGTATGGGAAATGGCGAGGTGAATCAGCTGTATCATGGCATATGTTGTCAGAGAGTTTAGGACTTGTTGAAGAATTATGTGTAAATCAGGCAGTCAATTTCTAAGATTTTCCAGCAAACATTGAACCTATTTACCACTCCGCCAATCAGCCATTTTATCATCCACCCACCCAGCCACTTCGTCAAATATTCAAGCAACCAGTTTATCCCATACTCCATCAGCACGTCATGGCATACTGCATCAACCGGTTTATCAAATTCTTAATTAGTCAGTTTGTAACAATTTCTACTTATTAGTTTATGACATTTTTCATCTATAAGTAACACTTACTCCATCAACCAGTTTATCATGTCGTGCTCTATGAATCAGTTTATCACATACTCTACCAACCAGGTTAATCTATGGAAAATTCCAGTTCACTTCAATGTATTATCTTAGACTACCATTGGGTAAAAATGCACTCGTCAGTACACTGAAAAAGTTCTCACCATTAACTGGCTTTTGACAACGCTCAACTTGCTCTCAAAACTGGCTTCAAGATCCTCCATGATGGACGTCACGTTAACCAGGAGGTCTTGGCTCTGTTGAAGACCTTCTTTCCTGTTCCTGTCCAAGGCAGCTGCCACGTTCTCCAGAATCTGGCGTTTGTGGGATAGCAGTTGATGAGGACATTCTCTTTTGTATAGTTCCACGGTGTGACTCAGAGCCTGCAAAAGTGAAGGAATAATATTAATATTAATAATAATAATATTAATAATAATAATAATTGTAAAAATAGATGGTTCTAATAATGATAATAACAATAATAACACTACTACTACTACTACTACTACTACTACTACTACTACTACTACTACTACTACTTTTTGCTAATCGACAGCAATATGACGTCAACATGACACAAAAATGAACAATATTCTCAACAAATTTTTTGAATAGTATATTATAGATCTAATAATAATGTCTTGACCTGCATACATGCTAATGGGGAGCCATACAGGCTATTAGGAATAAACATGTTTTAGTATATTTCAATATATGCTATTCTGCAAACTTTTCGAAAGGAGTGCTCCAAAAGAAGGACAACCGTGAACCGAAACTAGTCGAAATGAATAAACTTAAATGAACACTCCTTTTAAATTATCTTCCATTGGTAAAACTTCTAAAGACCAAGCTTTTTTAATGGTGTTTAGTACAAATTCATTCTACTACTTTCCTCTTGCGATCACTCCCCCTTCTTCTGGCTGTCGAAAGAAGAAGAAGAAGAAGAAGAAGAAGAAGAAGAAGAAGAAGAAGAAGAAGAAGAAGAAGAAGAAGAAGAAGAAGAAGAAGAAGAAGAAGAAGAAGAAGAAGAAGAAGAAGAAGAAGACGAAGGAGAAGAAGAAAGAAGATTACTTTTAAAATACTTAATTTTTCAACGCCAATCACTCTACATAACTGCTTACATGTCAATACTAAGGACTATAATAAAATATTTTTAGAATGAGGTTCTCACCTGTATCTTGCTGTCCAACTTGCTATCGAAACTTGCTTCAAGCGCCTTCAGGGTTGCCGTCATATTCTGGAGAACGTCTTGTTTTTCCTTAAGACCATTTTTCTTGTTCTCCTCTATGGCTGCTGCTACGTATTCCTGGATGTCTTGTTTTTGTTGCATACACTGTCTCTTGTTCTCTTCTACCATTTCACTGAGGATCTGAACCGTGACGTCACTCTTATGAGTGATGGAAATCGGTAGGCTTTTCTGCCACCCGACACTGCCGTGGGAATTTAAAATAGTGACATCACAACGGTACAAACCGATTGTATCGTTAGTTGCCAATGGCCAAGAAAGCCGCATATAACTGTTAGCCCCGGAGACAATGCTGCCAGTAGCGGTCACATCTTTAGCTGTTAGTCTGACGTCCACATCATCGTCGCGAAGTTCCGCAACACTGAACCATCCGCTCAGCTGTTTTTTCTGGATTCTCATCAATAGAATTTCCGAAATGTCTGGCTGCTGATAGGGGTTGAAACAGTTCAGAGAAACTTGTGCTGTCTTGCCGATTTCTATTTCTTCTGACGTAACATTGAGACGCCATGCTTTTGAACACATAACCAGGGCTGCTACCAAAATAAGGTTGGTAAATGTCCAGGTGGCGTCCATGTCTCTTGTACTACTGGTTAATCTGTTCACAAAGATCTTCAGGTACCTTGCGCGGAAGTCTACAAGAAATACTGAAAAAAAAAAATTACCCATTCAAACAACAAACTATTTTTATTAGCTTACCGCCCTAGCCCAATTATTTGAATGTACTTAAAGAAAATTACGTTGATTTCAAAATTCTATATGCTAAAAAATCAAGAAAATATTTATACTAACGACGCTTTAAAAAAATTGCACCATTTAAATAGAAAGTTCTATGTTTAGGCAAATGGGAAAAGACCAGACACTTGATTAAAACAGAAAGATGCAAAATCCAAACATTGGGGCTGTTGTCTATATTTGGATTGTATAAATGTTACACTAAATGCTGAAACTGGAATGTTTTATTAAGTCAAAGAAAGCATGCATAGAATCTTACCTTGGGCCTAAAGACATCGTTTGAGCAAAACACAGAAATCCCCATAATTATTCACATTACGTTTACGATTCCATTTTTACAATTACATTTTTATGCTAACTAAATATCAAAGAGCTGTTCCACTCTTGTAGATTTGGCTGACATGTTAATTCTATAAGCAAGGCAAATATAAATCCCCCAAACCCCACTGTCACCCCCTTCCCAACTTAACCCAGCGATTAAAAAATATACAACGTTTAACTCACAAACCATTTCTAATATGTTACTAATATGTGGGATATCTTAAATCTATGCTTTTTTTCGTTGTCTTCATCTATAAAATGTATAATAATATTCTTCACTCAATTCGGACCAATGGCCTTAAAAGTTGAAAAAATACCTACTTACCTAAACCAAAAGTTTTCAGAACCAGCGCAACAAATGTTTCTAATTTGAAAGTCGGTCACCTAAGTCATCATAGTGCCGAAAGACCATCCTATAGATTATTATTCAAACAACAAAGATAAACCTGCCTGTTTAACCAATTATGGACTTGTGTCCTTGTCCTTCACAATGTTTGAAGACGCGCTGCTTTTGGGTGTTTAAAAAAAAAAGCGTAACTTCGTTATTAATACGATTTTTTCTCTTCTATTCTGAAATTTAATAATAATAATAATAATAATAATAATAATAATAATAATAATAATAATAAAGATAATAAAGATAATAATAATAATAATCATTTTCATCATAATGATACTAATCATAATAGTAATCCTAAATTTAAATAGCGCTCTATCCCATACTAGTATTATTAAGCTCTGAGCGCTTTACACCAATCACAAGATCATTCACACAACAGAAAATGCTTCACAGAAACAAGAAAAACCAGTTCAACCACATAAAGAAGAACTTCCACAACCGTGATATACCTGAAAGGACAGCAGTAAAAAAACAACAACAGCAAACAAAACATACAGCACTTACTAACACACTATGAATACTGATTAAACAATTGGGACTTGAGCAATCGCTTAAACGTATCGAAATTAATTGCTATTTCTCTGAGACCCTGGTGCAGGGTGTTCCAGATTTTAGGACCAAAAAAAGAGAACCTTTTCTCTCTAAAGGATCGTAATGTCATTCTAGGGGATATGAATTTTGTTACATCTGTGGGTGACCGTAACTTACGAGATGTAACATACAGTGTTAAAAGCTCAGATGGATATCATTTCGGCTTTATCGTTAAGATATAAAAACAAATAGTAGAAACTTTAAATTGGATTCTTTTATCAACTGGAAACCAATGCAGAGCTTTTAACAATTTGCATGCTTGATCTTCTTTTTCTTGAGCACTAGTCTTGCGGTGTTATTTTGGGCCTCATTCGTTCACACGAAATACCAGACAAAACTGAATGACAGTAGTCAAGTTTTGACAAGACAAGAGAGGCAGAGAGTATATGCAGGCAACATTGGTTGAAATAGGGTGCCTCATCTTACTAATTCTTCTGGGATCAAGGTACACACATCGAATAACATTATTTACATGGTTGTTCTTGGACATATCTGATTTTAAGGGGGGGGGGGGGGGGGTCTTCACCCCCAAAGTCCTGATTCAGCTCAAAATTATGGAATTTGACTTACAGGCATTTTTAGCTTTCACAGCCTTTCCTACACCTATTTCATCGCATAGGAACCCCCCAAATCCGTATTTTTTTCCATACCGGGCATGTTTGTCACCACCATTTCCTCATAAAGTCAATATTTTATTTTTCTTTATCCACCGTTTTCTCAAAACGCGACTTTTCTCTATATTTTTAAAAATAACTCCACCATTTTTAATTCAATCTTCATAAAATCCTCACAGAATGAAGAGAAAAATTTGTCTGTGTAATTTTTGATATACGGAATAAATTTTTTGTTGGTGGTGTCTAGAGTAGGGATTTTCACGGATTTTTTGCAAACTTGAATGCTACCTCAGGAAAGAATGATCTAATGTTTGTGAACACGCATGCATTAAAACCTCAATCAATTTCCATGAGCAGTAAGAGCGGTGTTCATTACGCAAGACGTGTCAACAAAATCCAATATGGCCGCCGTATCCTTGGAAAAGGACATTTTTTCTCAAATTTAAAAGCGGATTTTAAGACTCATTACTATGCTTGTTTTATGTGTGAAATTTGGTAAAATTCATTTAAGTAATAAACGAGATAGCCTTCAGATACCTAGGTTCTTGGCCTTGTTGGAATAGGATAGTAGGTATTTTCAATTCCTAACTGGCTTCTGTTAACATCGTTAAGGTTTTTTGAACTCGAAAATAGAGTGGTTTCTGGTTATCTATTCATTCGTCATTAATTTGTTTTCTTCCGTCCATTTTAAAAACTTTTTCTATGCATTTCTTTACTCTTTCTAGAAATTAATTGTTGTTGAATGGATGAAAAGAGCCATATACCTGTGAGTCATCGGAGTAGAAATGATGCCTGAGTTGATTCATTTGTATTTCAACAGCAAGTGGTTGTGTATACATTGTGAAAAGCATTGGGCATAGAACTGAACTGTGGGGAACACCAAACTTAAGAACTCTCTTTTGTGACTTGATGTCTTTTATCACAACAGATTGGTAGCAATTTGACAAATAATTGTTGAACCATTCGAGACCAGAACCATGATGGCCAAATGGTTTTTCTAATCTTTTTTTAGTAGAATTACATGGTCACTGGTGTCAAAAGCTGCCGACAGATCTAGAGACTTTGCATTACAACTTTGCCAGCACATCATTCCATGAGGATATCATTTACAACTTTTAGCAACTCTGTTTCTATGTTGTGATTAACCCTGTAAGCTGATAGATAATGTTCGATAAGAACGTTGGATTTTAAATGATTATTAAGTTGCTGTAAGACTATCCTTTCAAAGATCTTAGAAAGAAAAAAAGATTTGGAACTGGTCTATAGTTTTTCAGCTCGTTTTGGACAAGAGGTGGTTTCTTCAATTACGGTTTTACTAGAGCATTTTTGAAACAATTAGTACTATTACATTCTTTATAGAATTATTGATGATTTTGGTTATAGTAGACGCAATCACATCGCTACAGGCAGTCAGTAAAGAGCTTGGCATAGGTCTAATTCACAACGTTTCCTTGGTGCCTCTAGAATACGTTAGTTTATAGTACTCTCTGTTACACTTTTAAAATAGGTCAGAGGTGTTCCATTGAAATCTGAAAAGTCATTGGACGTAAATATTATGTAAGGCAGCTTCTTAATTTACAAAAATAAAAATAAAAATAAACATCAGACAATAACAAAATGTAGGTTTCTGATCTGATTATGAAGGTTCTAAATATAATATCGTAACATTGCCTTTGATCTTCTGCTAATTGGGCACAACTGTCCGTTACGTTCTTAAACAGTTAAAGAGAATCCACTTACTTACCCTACAGTGGCTGCTTCTGTGTAGTTGAGCTGCTCAGTTGGCGTCCATTTATACAGGATGGGCTCGCGTCGACAACATACAATGATAAGACACTTTTCCAAACAAACAAATCTAAAAAAAACCCCAAACAAATCAAACCAAAAAAAAAAAAAAAGGAAAAACCAAATTAGTTGAAACAGCACTTTTCCCGCTAATACTCTTGCTTGGAGATGTAGATGTGTCCTCGGGAGAGTTTGTGTGAGGGGGGAATAGGGGAATTGATGCTGGAAGATAACGTGCACAGAAAACACAAATTAGGTTTACGGGGAATTTTGATGAAACGCGCCAGTTCAAGCGGATCTCTGGCGGGAAGCAGGATACGGGCGTTTATCATGTTTGCAAAATTCTGAGATACCGTTAATCCAAAAATATAAAAATAAAGCAGCAATTCTCCGGGTTACATGGTGAGAGGAAAACATATTGTCAAATCAACATTTTTTCATATCAACAAAGACGTGGGAAATTCTGAAAAATGAGAGTTTCATTATTTTGTGTTGTCGAACGCAGCGTGAGAATCTGCGCAGTAACAAAGAAAAATATAATGTGTACTGCCAGCGTTTTGCTGACGAGTGCTCTTTGTCTGAGGCTGAGTTTAGAAAATAATTATGTATTGCATCAGTTTGTCTTGTGGAACGTCGTTTGAGAATCTGCGCCGTTAAAGAGAAAAACAAAATGTTTACTAGCGTCATTCTGCTGACGGTGCTTTTTTCTCTAAGGTTGAGTTTGAAACTTGTTACTTTAAATCCCTTTTGGTTTTTACCAGACTAAGTTTGTTTTCGTGGCTGTTTGTTGCTGTATGTGTATTTGCCAGTGTGTGTGTGTTGTGTCAGTTTCAGTTTGTATGTGCGTGTGTATTTGTGTGTATGCGTCTGTATGTGTGTGTGTGTGTGTGTGTGTGTGTGTGTGTGTGTGTGAGTGTGTTTGCGTTTGTATGAGTGTGAGACACACACACATACACATACAAACATACACACAGAGGGAGAGTCAGAGAGAAGAGAAAGAATGTGAAAGAGACAGGGAGAAATGTGGGATTTAGAGAGAGAAGAAAAAAAGGAGAGAAGAAAAGACGAGAGAGAGAGAGAGAGAGAGAGAGAGAGAGAGAGAGAGAGAGAGAGAGAGAAGCACTTTCTTTGCCTGTACTGAAGGAAGAAAAGAAGAGACAAGTTATACAAGTTATATTCGAAGAGAAATATGGTTGTAAAAGTAAACTATGCTTAATGCCCCAATTGATTTCATCCTGCATGTGATTGAGTGTAGTAATCTTTAGTAATAGTGTAGGGTATTAAAGTGGGAACGTAACAAAGTCCTTCCAAATCTGACAAGCATACTTGTAAAGAAACTGGTGTTGCTCTTGTAGATATTTATTACAACAAATTGAACTAAAGGTGAGATTTTGTTTCCGAATCATAGCCTTGCCCTTTACACTATCCGTCTCTCTTGCATTTTTCTCCCCCAGCTTTTCGTACCGGTGTTAATGAACTAAACAGAACAAATCAATTTACCCCCCCCCCTCTCATCGGTATTAGAACTGTCCTAAAGTCTACAGTCTGCAATCTGTGAATGATGGGACTAAGGGGTCGGGCTTAAACGGTTGCACAATGGAATCTTCCCCAGAAGTGGAAGACGAATTAAAGGTGAATATGAGCATCAGAAACAGCAACAACAACACTAACAACAACAACACTAACAACTACAACAACAACATCAACAACAACATCAACTACAACAAAACCAAAACCAAAACCAGCAGCAGCAATAAGTATGACATACTTAAGAATATCAGCAACAACACTAACTTTCTAAAAACACATCAATTTCAAGAACAAAAACTGTAATCTACAACCATTGCCGCGATCTAATACATCTAAAGTGAACGTGT